GCATAGACTGGCAATATAGTAATTGTTGCTTCTTATCTCCTTTGCCCTACCTCAGACCCTCCCCAGGAATCCCCAAACTATGGCCCTCGGGCCGCATGTGGACCCCTGAGGCCATTTATCCGGCGCCCCCCCCCGCCACACTTCAGGAAGGGGCACCTCTTTCATTGGTGGTCAGTGAGAGGAGCACAGTATGTGGCGGCCCTCCAACGGTCTGAGGGACGGTGAACTGGCCCCCTGTGTAAAAAGTTTGGGGATGCCTGCTCTAGGCTAAGTGTCTGGGAATTAGGCTAAAGTGACTTCATCTTTTTCCTTCTCTGGGCACTGTAGGGAGACACGAGGTACCAACTTTAATGAGATAAGACAATCATATATAATTGGATTGTTCTTAAGCCAATTAAGAGTACACGTGTAAGGATAATTAAAATGGAATTAAACATCCTCTGTGGCAATAAATTTAGTTCATCTTCTCTGTCTTTGTTCCAAAATTATAAAACATATTTTTCCTTCGGTGGACATCTTTGAAATAGATCTTTTCTTTTTTTGACTTTGTCATAAAAGACTATGTGCCTCTCTGAAGCTTCTTTATTCTATGATATTTGTAAACATTTTGAAACATACTAAATAATAGCAGTGTGAGTTCCTATCTCTCACATTGCTCATAACATGTTTCAGAAGTAGAAAATAAAACGTTTTACGTTTTTCTGTTTTCCAACGTTTCCTCCAATCAGAATCATTCTCACTAAATGAGAATACTTATGTTATGCAGTAAGAATTAAGCACATTTTTTTCTCTTTTTTTTTTTTTTTTAAGATTTTGCCTCTAGTTTTGGCCTTTGTCTCAATTTCTGAGAAAAGCTTCTTCCTAATTCTTCTCCCTCTGTGGTCTAAGTGTTGTGTTGTGAAATATTTCAAACATATTAAAAAAATACAGATGCTAGTAAAACAGACACCTATATGCCCAACATCTCAACTCAATAAATGTAAGATTTTTAAAATAGAAATAACTTGTAAAATTTTATGTATTTATAAGTAAGATTGGTGAATATACTGTCTTTCTCATATTGTCCTGCTTTTTTTTCATTTATAATTAAGGTTGTATTATTATTACAAAGTCAATTGAAGAAGTTTTTTTCTTTATTTCCAAAATAGTGTAAAATGAAATAGTAGAGGGAGTTCCTGAGACTAGGTCAAGAAAGTAAGTCTTCCACCCCACATACAGTTTATCTTTAGAGCCATTTATAATTTGTGTTTTTTGTGTATGTGAGAAAGAGGGCATTGCCTACTGTTTCATTTTTTTTTAAAGTTTTTACACATTTGTTTTTCTCTTATTGGATTAAATTTGGAAATGTATAAAGCTTAAAATAATTTGTCTTCAATGACATTGCAAAGAGTCTTAATATTATTATGCTTTTTTACATCTACTTTTAGTTAATTAGATCTGCCTTTAAATATGTACTCTATCAAGCGTTATGTCCTTACCTTTTTTTCCTCTTCACATTTATTTATACCATCTCTCATCGCTTCTTGGCCTTTTGGCTAAGATCAAGTGTATTTATACCGTCTCAGCCCAGAGATGTCTTTTAATAGCTTAATAAAAAATACTTCTTTATTGTTGATGGTCTTCATTGTTCTTTTGTATTTAATGAATGAATGCCTTTTTCTTTTAATCTTTCCTTCCTTCTTATTCTTTAGATCATTTATTAACTTATTTTTACACTTAAGCCTTTAATTTTCCATTTTTTTCTACCCTTTAATATATGCAATTTACCTTTAAAACCAATTGAGTGGCATTTAAAAATTTTCAAATACTTTATAATTTCTGTTTCAAGTTTTCTTCTCTAACATGTAAAGCACATACAAGTGTGTTTTTGAATGTCTAAACATATAATGGATGTGTGGGATATTAGAGAATTGATATTTTTGTAATATACTACATTTAATTTCTTTTTATAATATAAAGTTGAGGCTTTATATTATTCTTTAGTATCTGTTGAGACTCACTGGTCAGTTTGTGTTGTGTTTTGTTTTCTTGTTGCTTTTGAGTGCTGGGAGAAAAATGCTTTCTCTAATGGCTCAGTAAAATGCTCTGTGTTAAATTTGTTGGTTCAAGATTGATTATTCAGTTGTAAAAGTCTTCTGTAGCCTTAAGACAATTTTTTTGATTCAAACTATCAGGTTTTGGTAATCTGTGTTAATACTTTCTGTAGCATTGTATGATGTCAATTTCTTTTTTTATTGTTTGAATTTGACATTTTGAGGCTGTGCTATTTAAATCGATGCAGGTTCAAGATCACTGTATATTCCCATTAAATTAGTCCTTATACACTTAAGGAATTATCTTTTCATCTCTAGTAATATATTTTTGTAATCTTTATCTGGCCTGATATTAATATTGCAGTATGACTTTTTTGTTGTTTTGAATTTCTGATTAGTAGTCTTAGTTTATTATTTTCTAATTTTTATTCTTTCCATACAATTTTTATTTTATGTATATTTAGCAGCAAGTAAATGGATTTTGTTACTTTTTATATCTAATGTGAAAATCCAGCTACCTTTATTGTGATTGTTTTGTGCTTAATTTTAATTTTTTTCCTTCCTTTCATTCCTTCCATTTGATTGATTGGATTTTCCATCCATCCATTTATTTGGAAATTATAATTCTTTTTTTTTCCCATAGCTATTTACAGAATTTTAATTAAATAAGGGGCTAGTTCATACCTCTCTTGTTCCCAAAACATACCAGAGTTTTATAGTGCTCTCATTTCAATTGCATCTTTCCATTTTACATACAGTTATTGTGGAGTATTTTATTTCCACTCTGTTTGATTTCCCCCATAAGTCATTATTTTTTTTCTATAGTGAATGTTTGTTTGGATTTACTCATGTCTTTTATTAGTCTCTTAGCTTATCATTGCCTCTGCAACTCTTGAGTTTCTTCTTTGATATAATTTATTTATTTTTTAAGAACATACGCTAGTGATTATTTCAGCAAGATTCTCTAAGAGATAGAGTTTCGATTTAGGATACCAAAAACATTCTTATAATTATCATCATTGTCATTTTGTAGGGATGTAGTTATAAATGAAATTCTACATTGACACAATTTCTCTTGCCCTTTTGAACTGATTTTACTATTTATTGATTTATTAATAGTATTTCTATCCATCTTATAATTTCTCTGGCGGTAATCTATGTTTTGTTCCAAATGGTTTTAAGAGATTCCTTTTATTATTGATGTTTGGAGATTTCAACACACTAGATGGATAAATGGGTATTTATCTTTCTTGCTATTTAGTATGTAGCTTTATTTAAGAACTCTAATATTATTTAAATTCTGAAAAAATATTTCAGTCATTATTCAGATATTGTCTGTCTGCGATCTCTGTGTTTTTTAGTTCTGAAGCTTCTATAAATATGTATTTTGACTTATTACATTCCCTGTATTTCTTCCCTATCACATTTTGACTCATCATTTTTATAATACGTCTAAATATTTTCCTTAAGTTTGTATCTTACTAATTTTTTTTCTCTGCTATGTCCACTGAAAATTTTTTTAAACCTTGTACTAAATTTGTATTTATAAAAGTCTTACTTGGTTCTCATTAAAATTAGCCTGTTCTTTTATCACAGTATCCTATTTTTTCGTAATTAAAAAAAAAAACCACTCTTTTGTCTTTATTTAAAACAAGGAATGCCAAACTCTTTCTTTCAAGGGCCAGAGAGTGAATACTGTAGCCTTTACAGGCCACGTGATTTCTGTAATAACTCTTCAACTCCACATTGTAGTGAAAAAAATATATAAACAGTTGGACATGATGATATTCCAGTAAAAATTTATTTGCTAAAACAGGCATTGGACCGGATATAAATCCTGAGCTATTATTTTCTGACCTCTGATTTAAAACATACTGTTTATAATCACATTCAAGTGGTTATCATAGCTCAAGTAACAGAATGGCAGTCTTCTGTTTGTGTTTGATGCATCAGTTGACTATCCCTTATGGTATGTTGTTTTCTTGTGTGTCATGATTTTTAGATGTGAACTTTACATACAGCCTTCTGTTGGAGGTCAGTGTGCCTTGAGTTGTGGAATTATCCTGCAGAGCGTATTTGTATTTCAGATCTAGTAGCTACTTCATTTTTATTTTTTATTCCTTGAGACAGTTTCACTCTGTTACTGAGGCTGAGTGCAGTGGAGCAGTCATGGCTCGCTGTACCTCTACCTCCCAGGCTAAAGTAACCCTCCCACCTCAGACTCTGGGGTAGCTGGAACACAGGTGCATGCCACCACACCTAGATAATTTTTTGTTTGTTTGTTTGTTTAGTTTTTTGTGGAGATATGGTCTCACCATGTTGCCCAAGCTGGTCTTAAACCCTTGAGCTCAAGCAGTTCTTCTGCCGCAGCCTGCCAAAGTGATGGGATTATAGGGCATGAGTCACTGTACCCAGCCTAATATTTTTTTAAAAAGAATGCTTTTTAAAGTATCACCCTCAGAAATGCCCTGAATACAAACCTTTTGAAATAATCCAGTGCTTGTGCAATAATCCATGAGGAGCACACAGCTATTATTGCTGTCATTATCTTTGTTAAAATTAACAGTACTGCTGTTTCTGTTATTGCTAAGTAGGTCTTGCCAAACTTATATACATTGTAGTTGTTGCTGTTCACGCATTTGGAGTTTTTGAAAATTCTTATTAATTGAAAGCTCAGAAATTTTTTTATTGGAATCTGGTGCTCCTTTGAGCTAAAAATATGGAAGATATTGAGTGAAGTATACGTTATGAAAACTAAAGATAGATAACTGAAGCCAGACAGAAACATAATGGAAGAAGCTTTGGGAATTTCTCTTCTGAAATACCATTTGTAAAAGGGATAGAAGTAAGCATATTATTGAATATACATGTTCACTATATATACGTGACTCTGTGTGTATGTGTGTACATACATACACATTTCCCTCCACCTGTAGTAAATTCATGCCTCTTGCTTGTTCATCACAGGGCACTTGAAATGGACCAAAGCTGAGGACATTGACATAGAAACCCCAGGATCTATTCTTGTCAACACTAACTTGAGGGCATTAATAAATAAACATACGTTTGCTTCCTTACCTCAGCATTTTCAACAATACCTCCTGCTTTTGCTCCCAGAAGTGGATAGGCAGGTAAGTAGAAGATTTAGATATTTGATATCAGCCACTGGTTATATTATGATGAAGTGGCAGGTCTATTATCAAAGATGACTTACGTACAGATATAGTATATTTCTGTAATTTATGCATATCTATTTAATGCTGTTATTAGCTTATTTAATCTGCTAAAACGAAACCATTTTTATTCTTAATAGCGAGCCAATTCAAATTTTAAAATACGGTATGTTGTGGTAGTATGAAAACTATAAACTTACATTGGAAAGGGAAAACAAAGAAATCAAGCATTCCATTATCAAATATATCTTTAGAGTAGCTGCTCCTTTGCCCAGAGGGAATATTGAAATGCAGCAATAAAAAGCCAGGGTTTCTAAGAAATTATGTAGATGTTTTTATCCTCAACTATTTCCAAAAGGCATTTAAAATTTATGTTTGCAATTGCTCTCTGAGAGTCTATCAGTATGAATATGATTGCCTATAAATAATCACCTTTTACCTTTTTAAAAATATAACTGGAAATGCTTTAAGTGTATTTTTATGTTTTTGAAAAGCTTCTAAAATAAGGAAATACAAATATAAACCCGTAAGAGCAGGCATCAATCATCTTTTAAGGCTGTTTGCTTAGGAAAGAAAAGGAAAAAAAAATTCATCACATAAACTTTTATTAAATTTCACAAAATTTATTAAGTGCTATCTAGGAAACATTCCCTTCTGATTCTTACTTCAGTAAATTCTGAAACTGTATATCATTTTCAGTTGATGGACTTAATACATGTATATTTATGAATTTGTGTCTTGAGATGATAGGTACATCCATGAATTGAAGTGGGCAAAATTTATTCAATATTTTCATATTACTTTGAATAAGTTTTCTTAGCTTTTTATTTGATTCTGTTTTCTTCTGACTTACTCATTTTCTTTCATATATATAAGCAACAGTTTGCTGCAATTTATATGTATCTCTTTGGTGGTGATTATTCATATTTAGAAAAAGATTGTTTTGATTTTGGGCTCATTTTCATTTCACTAGGAGTTTTTTCTCTTTTCAACAACATTGACTTAATAATATTTACTCTGTATGTGGTATGTTCTGGGTGCTTCGGTGTAATAGCAAGATGGTTAGTGTTTATTGAAGGAGAGATTAAATGCACTGTAATTGGATACATAACTGTATTTGTAAATAACCAAAATATGAGTTAGAAACAGGTAAACTTGAGGAGAAAAGTACAAAGTATATTGCACTTTTATATGCAGAAGGGAAATATCAGAGTCAAATATAAACTTCTTGAATTGGGCCTTGAGAGACAGAGGTCGAATTTGAATAAAATGAATGGAAAAGTACCAAGTGAGAGTCCAACAGTACACAATCAACAGCTAATTCGGTGGAAGTCTGGATTTTAGGAAGAATGGTGCAAATGATTTTGGAAGGACAGATGGGAAGTGGACTTTGGAAGAGTCCTTGAATATGAAGCTGAGGAGTCTGGGTGGTGTTCTCACTGTGTCTGTAATATAAAGCCATTGAAGGATTTCCAACGGAGCTATGATAATAAGACCATTACTTTTTAAGGAAATTATTCTGACAGTACTGAAAGAGAATGTTAGACACGGGAAGCATGAAAGTAGAAAGAATAGTTAGAAAGCAATTTTAGTTGTTCCTAAAAGGCATAATGAGGGTTTGATTTTGGAGCATTGAATTAAAATTAAAGAGGATCCAAGCACTTTGGAGGCCAAGGTGGGCGGATCACCTGAGGTCGGGAGTTCAAGACCAGCCTGACCAACATGGTGAAACACCATCTTAAAAAATAAATAAATAAATAAATAAATAATAAAAAAATTAAAGAGGAGGGGGAAAATGCAGTTGTCATCATCCTTATCTTCATTCTCCCTTACCACCTCCTTCTCCAGTAGTCACAATTTTTCATTTTGTCAAGTAACACTTGAAGCAAGGTATAGGGAGGAACCACTGATGACTCTTCAGTTACAAGCTTGTGTGACTTAGAATTTAGGCATTGGAAGCTTTTCGGAGAGAGATCTGATTTATTAGCATATACAACTATTTCCTCCACTTCAAAACAGGTATAGTTTATTTAGTTTACAAATCTGTCATCAGCTTCAGAAATAGGGTTTGGCATGTACCACTGTGTTAGTCCATTTGCATTGCTATACAGAAATACCTGCCACTGGGTAATTTAGAAAGAAAAGAGATATATTTGGCTCCTGATTTTGCAGGCTATACACGAAGCATACTGCTGGCATCTGCTTCTGATGAGGGCCTCAGGAAACTTATAATCATGGTGGAAGGTGAAATCACGTCAGATGGCAAGAGAGGGGGAAAGGAAGGTAGTGCTAGACTCTTCTAAATAACCAGATCTTGCTTGAACTCACAGAGGGAGAACTCACTTATTGCTGTGAGTACAGCACCAAGACATTCATGAGAGATCTACCCTATAAGTCAAACACTTCCCACTAGGCACATCCCCAGTATTGGAGGTCACATTTCAGTTGAGGTTTGGAGGTGACAGAACCCCCAAACCATATCAACAGTGTACTCAGTAAATATTTTTGGAATGAATACATAACAAATTGTCCTAGTTTTAGTCAAAACTGGGGTAACCCAGGTGGCCAGAATCTAAGCCCAATATTTTATTCAACTTCTGGCAGTTTGTTACTCAGTGTTTTCTAGTCACTCTGAGAAATATAATTGAATAAGGCACAGTACTCATCCTTGAATAACTTAGTCCATTGAGAAACTATTTTTTATTCAAAAAATATTTACTGAGCATGCATTGTGTGTTTTACATAGGAATGTATCTTGTGGAAGATACAAGAATGAATCTTGTGGAAGGATAATAGAAGGGGGAAAGAAAAAACTTCATACGGAAATGTTTAATACTCTGCTCACTACTAGCAAAGAAGTTTAATCAATGGATAAGTGTTATCCCAAGTTTAGTACAGAACCAGTTAGAATCACATAAATGTCATAATAAAAGTTGAAAGAAAGCTTTTTGAAGATATAGAGGATGAAGAAATTTAATCTGAATGTAGTATTGGAGAAGATTTTTATAGTAGAGAAGATACCTTAAAGGACTGGTAGGTGTTTCTTAAGTAGAGCCAAAGAAAAGTAAATTTTGCAAAGGAAAGGCATGCCATTTACAAAGACTTTTTGCTTATATGTTCCAGAAGATTTAGTATTTCTGTATGACTTGAGCCATCTGAAGGGGAAAAAGGTGGGCTATTTTGCTGAAGGGAAATGTGGTCTACAATGTTGATGGCCTGATAGTAGGCTAAACTCCTTAAAACCAGTATGTACCATCAAAGACATGTCAAATGGGAAATGACATGCAAGAAATAGTTTAAACACATATTTTTGTGCCTAGACATAGGAGAAGGGAAGATAATCCAAAGGATAAATAAAATGCAGTCCTTATTTTCTTTTTTGGAAGCAAGTACCTCTGTGAATGATGGATTGGACAGCAGAAAGGTAAGACCCAGAGAGGCTGGTTAGGAGACAGTTGCAGTAGTTGAGATATGAAATAAATGTCTGTCCTTGGTATTGGAGTTGGAAATGGAAGGAATGAATTCTAGGCATTTATTCAACCCAGATTGAATAGGAATAAATGACAGCTTTGAAATGGGATTGTTAAAGGTCTAGAAGGCAACTAGAGATTTTTTCTAGGGTGGCTTAAGAAAGAGAAACTCTGTGGGCCTGTCAGCATTTTATACCAAGAAATTTAGAGCTAGTGTGCTCTTTTTCTGCTCAAAGTGGCCTCAACCTTCTTTTCTCGCCGAAAGGGACTGGTAACTTGATGCAACAAACTGCCAAAACTGCTGCTGTTTTAGTCTAGCTTATTGCAAATGTCCAAATGAAGATGAGCACCACTATTTTGTGGCCATAATGAGTAGACATGGCATGGGAATGTGAATTTGATTACATAGATTTATTTGAGCCAGTTGAAGGTCTTATGTGAAATACCTAAAATTTCAATTATGTCTTCACATATTTACAAAATCTGGAATTCCTCACTTTCTTGCTTTCCTTTGACTACCCCAAGTTTCTATTGCTTTCTAGCATGAAGTAGTCCTAAAGGGCCTCTTCCTCTGGACCCATGTGAAACGGATTCATTCCAGTATTACATCCTCAAAATGTGGGAGCTGAGTTGCCCATTTATCTTGGCAGTGCTGGCTGTTAAGGCAGTCTTTCTAGGTGTCTTGTTTTCCTATAGTTGCACTTCTCATTCTTTTTTTTTTTAAAGAGTTCCGTTTATCTTATATTTTTAATTTACCCCAGTTGTTTTTATCACATTGCTGCATCTAGTTTTATATTTAATTTTATTCTTCACACATTATACTGCAAATAAAAGAAAGTCCAACTCAGAGATATTTAAGTCATAAAAGGACACTTACTGGCTCAGGTAATTAGAAGATAGAAGTTTGAGTGGGCTTCTTGTTGTTGGTCCTAGGTCTCAGTTATTATCAAAGGCTCATTTAATTATTTAAATAATTTATAAAATCTTCTGCCTTCTTCTGGATGTTTTTCTAAACCCGAATCTCTTTATGTAGGATGTGTACCTGAATCAAGTTATGAGCACTTGCCTCAATGCATGGGGAGAATGCTCGTATTTCAAGCAAAAGACCTAAGATTCACACTAATGTACTGCTTAGATCACATGAGCATTCCTTAAACAATGATGCTAGCCAAGGAAATGGAATATGCAAATTGGCCTAAACCAGATACACCTACTATCCTTGGAGCTTGGAGTGTGTCCATCATCTCCTGAAGTAACATGGTGCACTTGTGGCAGAGGTCAGAGATACTTTAAAAATCTGTGTTTTAGAAGTTTTACCAGGGGATATATACAGGGTGGGGTAGATGCTTGGTAGGCAATTAATAGTGCCTGTTGAAGCAGGGTTGAAATTAAGTTTTGTTTGTAACATGTTGGGTTGAAATTCATCCATTATATGAAATGCCCACAAAGTCATTATGTATGCAGATTGTAAGACAGTAGAAGATTTTG